ATATATGTGTGCGCGTGCGCGTGTGTGTGCGTGTGTGTGTGTGTGTGTGTGTGTGTGTGTGTGTGTGTGTGCGTGTGGGTCTGCTTGTGCGTTTGTGCGTGGTGGTGTGTTGTGTGTTTGTGTTTGTGTATGTTTGTGCGTGCCTGCGTGCATGTGCGTGCTGCGCTCATAAGTCGCGCCGTGCGTGCGTAGCGTAGAATGACATTGTCGTGCGCGCGTGCTGTTGCGATCATACGCGGATAACGTTTAATACGACCAGAGTCGTTCCACCTTCAGGTTCTTTTTAAAATGTTCATCATCGACTATTTATTTTCGCAAGGCAAGGTTCGTTGTCCGCGTGCTGTCAAGCGACACAGACAAGCATTTGCCGGTGACGTACACACGCCCGACACAAATATATTAAAGATACAAATACACACAAACGGGTAATTGAACAGGTTTCACGTCATTGTGCGTGCGAAAAATTACTCTCTTTTAGCATCTTTGTGGTTTGTTTTTCTTTTCTCTCGGCGTACATAAAGGATCTAATAACGCTAATGTGTGTGTAGCGTTTGACGTGACGCCAGGAGGCTGAGCAACGCACGATTAACTGCGAGTGAATGCGATGCAAAGACGGACGGAGGCAGGCAACAAAATACCCTTATAATGCCGTCTGTGTGTCGACTTATTTTCAATTACGCGTTCTACGAACTAATTTCCTGTAATGGAAAATACAAAATTACTTTATATTCTTATTGCTACTACCTTGCGCGGGCGGGTGCTGTTGCTAGTGCTGATAGGGGGGGGTACGGTAACTATGTACATAGTGGTCACCGTTAACGCCCGTTATTCTGCATTCACCCTGAGATTATGCCTTCCCTTTTCAGATAAGCCTTATATAGTACTATATCATATATATATATTATATACTTTTATACATCTCGAAATAGCATGCATGTAAATGTAGGTGTATGTTGTTCGTATGCACGGGTAGATTATATATACGTGCGCTTATAGATTTAGCTCCTCCCCCATGCGGCAGGCGTACAAATTATCGTACGCTAATGTAGGATTAATATTTTATCGCCGAGATAAAAGTATCACGCTATTTGGGGAAACAATGAGTTCAGGAGCAAATACCTATCTAATGATATTGAACCGTTTAATTATGTTCACAATGAAACCTTTGCATCGCCGCCGCGGTTTGTATTATCTAGGCGTGCGGACGTTTTAATTTAAAAAAGATAAAAACACGCATATTATCATGAATATGCAAAATTCGTGCGTACCCATATATATATATATACCTATTATAGTATATTGTGGTGTTGTGTATTGTGCTGGTTGCGTGCAATCCGACTGCGTGCGTGCGCGGCGCTATTTGTGTGCTGTGGTGTGGGTCTTGCTGCCCGGCGGCGCGTGTGTGTGTGTGTGTGTGTGACGTGTGTGTGTTGTGGGGTGTCCTGGTGTAGCGCTGCGTCCGTGTGTGTGTGTGCGTGCGTGTGAATATTACTGACGGATACATAATAATCATGGTTTGGATGGCATAGACTGTAGTATGAACGACTTTTTCTCCAGTGATCCCAATAGACAAGTGAACATAGGGGCAGCGTTGTGCGTGCGTTGATGCGTGCTTGGCGTGTGTGCGTGTGTGCTGCTGTTCGTGGCGTGTGTGTTAGTGTGTTGTGTGACGTGCGTGTGTGTGTGCGTGCGTGCGTGCGTGCGCGTGTATTTACGTTCGCATACAGATAATTATACTAACATGTGTCACTACGCGTCTATGCGTAATTTCATATTCTTCAGTTATCCTGCTATGTGTTCTGCTAGTGGTAATATTCCTCTCGACTTATGACTTGCTTCGGTGATGGTTCGGTCACCGTGATCGTTGAGGGGCAAACAGAATTCGAGAGAAAGAAAAATATAGGGGCACGCGTTAATCCTCTACAGGCCTACATATACAAGGCACGCGTCACTATACTAGAAACCCGTCTGTGTCGAACAGTAACATAGACCTGTAAAAAATCAGGTGTTGTGTTAGTCGACCTGGTCGCATAAATGACAGGTTGACAATCCTGTATTCGCGCATGCGCGTGCGCGTGCACACGGCGTCCCTTGTCCGTAATGAGTTTGCAGGTACGATCCGCGCCTGCAGGTACAAAATAATTAGTCATGCCATGTGCATATACGCGTAATTACGCTACTCAAAAAGGACAATGTATAAATTCTTAGTACGGCTCGCGAAATACGAGCCGACAAGTAATCATGCTAGCTCTCTGGCTCGTCGAAAGGTTGCGACTCGGATTGATCAAGCCCCACGGTAAAGGTAGCCTCGTGTTTCTCCATGTACACGCTAATGCTAGAGTACGCGAATACACGCACGCGCGCATGTAGAGCCAAAGTAGGTCATTAATATGAATTAATATGTACGCTAGATATATATATATATAAACGGAAGGCACCTAGTTAGTTTCGAATCGGGTCTGGAGACGAAATTGATGTCTATAGGAAGGTGCTCGATGGCGAACCTTTATCGGGAGTCTAAGGGAGTGAGCGCGCACAGGAAACAAGGAACCTATACATTTGCCTTCTGCATGCAAATGAAGAGCTCATAATTGGTTTGTCGAGAATTATCGTTAATTTACCTGCGAGCGCGTTCATTGTGATTCGCATTTCGTGAGTTGTGAATGAATACTAGGTATTTTACGCACATATATGATTGCATGCGTTACGTATTATTTTATAAAGCTCTAGGTAATGTACTAACACGCTATATATATACAGAATAATGTCTGCAATAAGCCTTGGTATGGATACAAAGAGAATTATAATTCACCAGCCAAAATACTAATTACAGAGATAGCTCTGTTCTATTCTTGTCAATTTGCACGCGAGTGCTATATTTATTAGTGCCATGGGATATATAACCACCTACATGCACACACACACACACACACACACACACACACACACACACACACACACACACACACACACACACACACACACACACACACACACAAATAAAATAATATTTAATATGTAAACTACATATACATATATATACATATAGTAGGGAGAGAGAGAACTTACAATTATAGTAGAGTGTGGAAAATTACATAAATGATATTACCAGACTTCTTACCATTGTATGACGACAAAGAGAACTTGCACAGCGGGGATTTTACACAAAGGAAAATTACACACGGAATATTACCATTGTACACATACCACTAACACACGTACGCACTAACTTATTAATATATATATCATGATACATAACTTATGTCTACCTATTTACACCTGCCTGCACATTCAGCAATCTATACTTTCGCTGTTATCAGAAACAACGACATAGCCTCCATCGTAACTAAAGGGACGGGACGCAAAATAGCACATTTGCGCTGATGATAATGTTCTGCGATCATATAATATAGTGTTTTGCTCTTAAACTGTGACAGGGCTCCATCGCCAACACTATAGATCGTGGTCATGAAGACGTGAAGCGCTCAGGTTCGCGGTTTGTCTGGCATAAATTTCACCAAAATCCGCAACGCGTTTGCGCGAGCTGATCCTAATGAAGGTCGACTGAGGGCGCTATAGAGTTACACAAGCGGGAAATTTACATGATACAGATGATCAAAATCTGTCAGATTGAGTAAAGGCGTGAATGCGCAGACGCTAATGAAACGTTGATGAATCAATTAGCATGGGCGCGGTGCGTGTCGGGAGCGAATCAGGGGCGGATTGCGAGCGGGCAGTGCGAACCGACTACACATCGATTCCCAATTAACTGCCAAGTGCCCGCTCTTGACTTGCCACTCCTGCCAGCATTGATAGCTAAGATTATCGGCATTATACGGGAAATCTTGACTCACAGATTAATACGGGTAATCCATTGCGTAGAGTGCCAGCGGAAAGAGAGAGCCGGGTACATGAGCAGTCTAGTCGTATGCTAGCAGTCAGTATGAGCAGTCTATACATAATAATGCTCTGCACAACTCGTTGGTTGTGTGTGTATGTGTGTGTGTGTGTGTGTGTGTGTGTGTGTGTGTGTGTGTGTGTGTGTGTGTGTTCGTCCTGTGGAATATAACTGTAAGGGCTTTGGCGGTGTCGACGACAGAGACACGCAGTCCAGTAGTCCATGCGTCATGTCCACGGGATTGTGGACGAGTGTGGGAATGCAAGTCGTTTCATAATTATAAGTGGGGCTATTGTGCGATTATCTAATTTCGATAGTTCGTTCAAACGTTATATGTGCAGTGGCGTAGCCAGGATTTTTTAACAGGGGGGCCAAAAACAGCGAACTGCGCAAAATAGTGAATGATTTAATATTTTAATGGTTCCTCCGCTTCCCTCTCCACACACTATGCTCCCCCGCCTCTCAGCTCTGCAATCTTTGTTTTGGGCGCCATGCAAAAATGGGACATTTGTGTTCGTTGTTCTCTGCTCCTTAGATATGTAACTGTTGTTCAGTGGCGGATCCAGGATTACAATGAGGGGGTGAACCACAGTCGGGGGGGCATGGGGGTCCTCCCCCAGAACATTTTAAAAATGTAGATCGCAGGAGATGGTATTTGAGACACTTTTGAGTACATGTATACAGCCTTCATTCTGACTACGACAATTCTCTTTTTAGTAGAACAATTCTTATTGTTTTATTTTTTCAACTTTCGGATCAACAGGGGGGGCATGGCCCCCTTTGCCCCCCCCCCTAACTACGCCACGGTATGTAGTGTATATGTGTGTAGGGGAGGCCTGGGTCATCTCAACGTGACGCTGACCCACTGAATTATCATCACTTTAAAACTCGGCGCCATTCGAAGCTATAGAGTTAACAATGAACGATATTTATATTCGTATTTGTACTGTATCGAATGTATGGTTCCAGAATAAACTGGCAAAGTCTATTACATGTATTTGTACCGTATTGCAGGTAGACGGGAAAAGTGTATTACACGTATTTGTAGTGTATTGCATGTAGACGGGAAAGGTGTATTACATGTATTTGTACTGTATTGCAGGTGTGGTTCCAGAACAGACGGGCAAAGTGGAGAAAGACGGAGAAGACGTGGGGCCGCAGTACGGTGATGGCCGAATATGGTCTATACGGAGCCATGGTGCGCCATTCTCTACCTCTACCAGAAAGCATTCTCAGCTCCGCCAAAGAGGGAATCGTCAACTCGTGCGCCCCTTGGCTTCTCGGTACGCCATCTGCTGTTCCTACCTATGCATGCATGGGGAAAATAACACAGGGGGGGGGGAGGGAATAACACGGGGGAAATAATAACACGTGATATCTCACACTCGTCGAGGCGGCCGTGACAAATTGCGACGTTTCCTTCGAATTACCGCCGGCCATTTCGCGCGCGCAATTACTGTGTTTGTGTGTTATTCTTAAAAGACGGGGGAGACCTCAACCCTTTGTGATTACTCTATCGATTAGCATTGATTATTGGTGTGAATCGGCGGAGGAAAAGGGGTGCTCAAGGCGAGTAACGTGATTTGTTGGTCCATTAGCACGAAGCTTGTTCCATCGCTTCTTCCTTTGCGTTCTCCTCTGTCGTTCCCCGTGCAAGAGCTTCACTAGCTTCCCTATCACGCGTTCTGCTCAACGCGACTATCTCTCCATCTCTCTCTCTCTCTCTCTCTCTCTCTCTCTCTCCCTCTCTTTCTCTCTCTCTCTCTCCCTCTCTCTCTCTCTCTCTCTCTCCCTCTCTCTCTCTCTCTCTCTCTCCCTCTCTCTCTCTCTCTCTCTCTCTCTCTCTTTCTTTCTCTCTCTCCC